AAATTAAACAATTGCATATTTCTTTAACAATTTTGATTTGATCATTTTTTAAAGCATTTAATTGATCCAATGCTTTTATAATCACTTTCCAGATTATTCCATAGTCTTATAGCTTTTACTGAAGTGCATCTGTCCTTTGAATTTGTCCGAATTTTTGGTTTAATAAACATTTGTAATCCCTTCAAGTTTTGAGCACCAGCACAACAAAATACGGACAAACATAATCAATGACTGTGCAAGAGTTCAAAACAAAACAAACAAACAAAAAAAACCACCAAGATTATTTAGTTAGATGTCTTTAATGATTTTGTGCATTTATTCTTAAAAAGAGTTGTTGAAAGCACTAAAGTCTGYTTAATGCAGAGTAGCCCAAAGTGGGGCTCACGGTCCAAATTTGGCCCACCAAGCTATTTGATTTGGCCCACCAGCATATGCCATAGTTAATAGGTARTAACCTTTAATCTTATGTAGAAACATAATATTTCCACTTAGTCATTTCATCCACTGGCTGAATGATTATATAAGGGGCTGTAGTGCAGATAGTTTTCATTCATGGTGCTGACTTTATCTTTGATATATAAAGATTAAACAAGAAATAAAAGTAACAACGAGAGATATTAGGATTAGATTCAACCATGCATGTAGATTTGCACACATTATAAACCCACAAAACCATATTTTAGCAATTAATGAAATGTCCCATGAACCTTTGCTGCTTGAGCGTATGGCACACTTTCTCCGAGTGCACAGACAAAAAAGAAGTGAGCCACCACACTGACTGCTAGCTTAATAGTTAAAAATAAAGTTCTTTACCAAAAAAATATTTGTATTTCATGTATATTACTGCACTTGGCCCACAGCTCCGGATAGATTTTCATTTTGGCCCTCTTGGGGAGAATTTTTGGGCACCCCTGGTTTAATTAAAAGACTGTTTTATGGACTTTATTTTCCTAAAGTAAAATAAAACAAGTACAGATTCCTGCAAACCTTTATGCCTACAAATGTCCATTTTTCGTGTCAAGAAGCCTTTTTTTTCCATGCATAAACCTGATTTCCTTCATGTCTGCTTGCCTTTTTCTTTTGCAGTGTGTAAGATGAATGTGCACAGGCGCTGTGAAACTAATGTAGCTCCTAACTGCGGTGTGGACGCCCGAGGAATCGCCAAGGTTCTGTCTGACCTTGGAGTCACACCTGACAAAATCTCCAACACTGCGCAGCGCAGGAGGAAGGTAACCAAAACTCACTGCGGCAACGTAACAACATATCCGCCAGTCGACCAATTCAAAAGAATAATACTTTTTAAAATAAATACTCTGTAAAAGTTAAGAAACTGGACATTAAATTTCAGTAATGCTTTTATTTTGTAACTCCGAACTGAAATGGAAGATCTAAAGCAGACAAAGCAAAGGATTAATCATGTGTCTCTGTTTGCAGTTGACTCYAGGGCAGGACCCTCCCCAGTCTCCTCCTGAGCTCTCCCAGACTGAGGAGAACAGCTTCAGCCAGCCAGCTGTTCCCACCTCCCCCTCACAGCAGGGTAACACTCCACACACACACACACACTGACAAAAAAACCCCACTGAAACACAGCTTTTACACAAACAGGCAGACACTTTTTTTATCCCTTTTAAAATGGCCTCCTATCAGCACGCTGTTTTTATTTGTTCATTTAACCACTATGAGGTAGTAACTTGATTTCAGTGAAAATATTGTCGCTCCTTTCAAGAAAGACGTAGATAAATGTGTTTTTATTTTTTTGTGTAGACCAAACGTGAATTGTCCCGCGCCCGCCCACCACCATTTGGTCGTCACAGTTAGTCATCACATTTTCACACTTCTCAAGCTGAGAAATGGAAAGTTAACTTTCTCAGTGCAGAAGTTTTTTTTTTTTGTTTGTTTGTTTACACCGAGCCAAACGAGGACGACGATGAGCGGCGCTGCTGGTATTTTATCACCCTGAGACGCTGTTGCTGATTCATCTCAGGTCGCAGCAGAGGATGTGGCGATCATCTTTAAAAGTTCAGCCGAAGAGAAATCAACCTAATGATTAAATGTTATAATGATCTCCCTTTTCTTTTCGTTTAGCCATCAAACACTGACAGGAAATTAAACAACATCCAGCTTTTTTTTAAAATATATTTTACTAATGTCTGATCTGCTTTTCCCGGCGACGCCCACAGACTTGGCAGAGCTAGATCGCCTGCAGGACGCGCTGTCACTCGACCAGCAGGGACCCCAGCACTCCTCCTCTTCCTCCTCCTCCACCAACTCCTCTTCCTCCTCCTCGGCGGCCAGGGAGAACGGACAGAGCCAGAGGAGGAACCTCAAAGACTTCAGCTTCATCAAAGTTCTYGGCAAAGGCAGCTTTGGCAAGGTGCGGCAGCGTGGAGGTGTTGGAGGGGGAGGCTCATTTGTTTAGCTGTCTTTATAATTAAACACGTTTGAAATTATTTATGATCGGTTACGCTAAAGCAGAAGGTTATTTGTTCGTATTTAATTTTAGCTTTATACATTGTATCGTGTGAGAGCTGACTGTGGGTTGATTGTGGTATCGAAGCCAGGAAAAAGTACATTTTTAACACATCGTTTCCATTACATAATCTACAGGTTTTATGTGATTGTATGGAGTATAAGTAGCCTACATGACCCAGAGATAATGAGCAGTATAACCAATCTTTTTTTCTCAAGTCTGCTTTCCTACATATTTGCAGTTTTTTTCTATTTTAGTTGGATAAATCTCCAACAACGGGCATCAAAAAATCTCTAGAGTCCTGCCCATTCATCCATTTATTCTCCTCTTCAGCGTTTAGAAACCAAAACCAGATTTATAACCATATTGATCATATATTCATATTGATCTTACTATTGCCAGGTGAGTTCTTTCTGAAAAACTAGATACATAACATAATGACCCCCACACACACAAATGCACCAGAACTCAGAAGTCTTTATTCCTAATAAATGTCATGTTACTAGGTGTATCCTAAAATTGCAGTGGTTTGGGTTGGGGTCTTTTTTTTTAGTTTTTTTTGGGGGGTGGGATTGGTTGACCTGATGGATAGCCCTTCATCAGAGCTAAACAACAAAACAAATCTGAAGCTCCTATGTTTAATAGTTTTTGAGCAATAACCCTTTTTGTATGTCCAGATACCCATTTTTCCAGATAAATTGGGGGTCCGGGGGGGTGGGGGCACTGATTGGTGGGCCTGATTGATAGAACTTCATCAGAGCTAAACAACAAAAAAAATTATGAAGCTTCTATGTTTAACAGTTTCTGAGTTACGTATAAGCATTTTTTGCGTTCAGACACCCCCACTTTGAAAGGAGCCCCCTCCTCAAATATGGGGTCTATYGTAAAACCGTTCATGTTGATCGGTGCAGCCGTTTTTGTGCAACAGTTGACCAAAAATCTCCGGAGGAAAATAAAATAAACTGTACGAAAACAATTTGACTCCCGCTTACGCTTCGCGTGCGGAGGTCATAATATTGCTTTTGAGCCTTCACTGAAGAAAATAACTTGTAAGATTTACTAGATAAAATTGTTTTAGTAATCTGCAGTAGCACTTTTCAAGTAAATTTTATGGGGAGGTTGCCGGTTTAAATCCCCGGACYGACACCRTCACACCCACCCTGGACCCYTGAGTAAGGCCCTCATTCAATGGCAGCCCCCCTGCTTCACGTGCAATGGGACAAATACAGAGAATTTATTTCCCCACTGAGGGACAAATGGTTATCAAAATTAAAAATAAAACATAAAGTAAACCAAATAATGTCAAATATGACAGTATTTATTTTATTTTATTTTTATTTAATATGACTTAAATTTTAAAATTATTAGGGGTGTCCCAATACCAATTCTTCTCAAACCAAGTACTTCAACTTGGGTACTCATGGATACTGAGTACTTACTGAGTTAGAACTTAAACATTGCAAGATGATTATAAAACACTTTTCTTTTTATTTAGAACCTGGTCCTAAATCAGACTAGCCTGGTAAAAACCAGACCCTTGTCCTTGACTTTGCTTCGTACGAGGGTCTGGACTCTCGGCTATAGAGAAGTGATTCTTGCTGGAGGTGTGGCCTCTGTTGGAGTTTAAAATGACTGGATCAATTGGCTGTGACTTATGTCGCTGTGAAGGAGGCTAAGCTAAGAAGCTAACCGTAAATCGCGTGCGCTTTAAACAACCCTACTGAGAGGAGAGAAGTACCAAGCTAAATGAGACGACTGTAAATGAGAGCTGCTGCTTTGTCAGACAAATTTAWTTTAATTTGGAAGCCTTATCAACAGACTGGCTTCATTCACTTCCTCCACTGCCATAGCTAAACTAACTAGCAGACACTGCGAAAATCGACGTCGTTCAAAACTCCGCCTTCTGTTCYCTGATTGGCCCGGAAAAAAATGCTCCCGAAGAAATCCTTGTCTATGGGAGAAATCCCAGACGGAGCAGTGAAGGGAAACTAGAATTGAGCAGAACTGCGTAGGAAGGCAAGGSCCAGGCTAAAATCAGACAYATATCTGATGTGTTTCAAAGCGACCTCGGTTTAAACAATCATGTTGAATTTTATCTGACTTCTACATTAGAGAGGTGGAGGTGAGCGGATCAATCCAATAATAATGACTCTAACCTCGGATCACGTTKAAATCTTGTAGCTCCACACGTCTTCAGCAGAACAGGAGTCCAGTTGCTTCTTCTTTTTTTTTTTAATTTTCCATGTCCTGAGGACTGTGAATCCACAGATGTGATTAACAGTGGTGTCACACCGCGTCGATACTAAAGTTACTGGATCAGTACTTTACTAACAACAACTTCAAAATCGAAATGCTAATGTAGCATTCAAAGGTAGAGACCTGTTTATGTTTGTAAACAGCGAGCTGAGTGTGACATCACGTCATCTTCTGCACGTGTGTCACATCGACAACATGAAGCGTTCGCACTGAAATCTGATGGAGGTCACATTTATAACATGAACGTCTATGCTAAAAATAAAATAGTATCAGTTCCAGGTATTGAGGCATTTCAAACAAGTTCAATTACTCAGTAAATTCATGACTGTTAATTGTGGTAAGTACATTTTAAAGGTACCCGATATCACAGTGCAAATTGTTACAAGGATTTTATCTAATAAATCTTTCAAATAATTTTTTTCAGTGTGAACTTCTGAAAGCACAAAKAAGCAGCTTGATAAACGAATAGTTTGGCGTCCTTGGTTTTAGACACTGCTGTGTTCAGTAACGCTCTGCAGCGAGGGAAGGAGACATTTTGAAACTSATCTATCTTCTGTCTCTGCCCAGGTGATGTTGGCAGAGCTGAAAGGGACAGAGGAGGTTTACGCTGTCAAAGTTTTAAAGAAAGACGTGATCCTTCAGGACGATGACGTGGACTGCACTATGACAGAAAAGCGGATCCTGGCCCTCGCCCGCCGCCACCCCTACCTCACCCAGCTGTACTGCTGCTTCCAGACACGGGTACGGCCGCGACGCAAACGCTGACGTTTTCATCTACGCGTGATTTCTCTGTCTCACACGCACACCCTCCCCTCTCGATCCCGCTCCGTCCAGGACCGTTTGTTCTTTGTGATGGAGTACGTGAACGGAGGAGATCTGATGTTCCAGATTCAGCGATCCAGGAAGTTCGATGAGCCGCGCTCTCGTTTTTACGCCGCCGAAGTCACGTCCGCTCTCATGTTCCTGCATCGTAATGGCGTCATTTATAGGTAAACTTATAATGCCTTTTTTTATTTTAATTTATGTCTTCAAAGGTAATTGAATATCCACAACATTCTCAGAACTTTATTRTTATTAACAGAAACTCTCATGCTTTGGTTCATTCACACATTTGTAAATTAAAAACTCACCTCCCGACTGAACCAAACAGTTTTGGGAAACAGATGGCACTAACCCTCCCCCTCTTCCTGTCTCTTGCCTCCACAGGGATCTGAAGTTGGACAACATCCTCCTAGATGCAGAGGGACACTGCAAGCTGGCAGATTTTGGTATGTGCAAAGAGGGCATCATGAACGGAGTGACCACCACCACCTTCTGCGGCACACCTGACTACATYGCTCCTGAGGTGAGCTGAAATTAGACTTCCGGATGTAAGGGTCGATACACTTCCATTTCTCAGCTTGAATCTATGAAAAATATCAGCGATAACCCACTTTGACAGATATGAAATAATAATTTCTTTGTGTTTTTCTGACTGCGTCGTTTACTCCTCACTGCTTCGTTTTGTCATCTACAACACTGTTAGTCACTTCAGCTTTTGGCAGGGCTCTCTGCTTTTGTTCTTTTGTTAAAAATGCAAAAAAACAACAACAAAAAACAAGATGACATTTAGTTTCTGAACCCGCATTTCCAAAATAGTCTTTGTCAATATTCTAGACAAATGTGACAAAAAAGGTTCAGGAAACAAACTGCAGCATTTGCTTGCACCCGAAATTGTTGTTCAGGGTAAAAAGATGTCTAGATCTTTACAYAACCGAGAACGAGTGCTGCTGGAGRTCAGMGGAACAATTTTTTGTTCAGAAATCTGTCACACTTGTTAGCGGTGCACCGATCTAATATTAATATCAGTATTGGTCCCAATATTGAAAAAAATTCTAGATTGGGTATCGTGATAATGGGCCCAACCCTTAGGGGCAGATCTGTTTGATCTCATACTAATCTAAGCCCTGTCAGCGACGTCATGCGCTAACAGAGTAAAGCGAGTCAAAGGATCAGACATCTAGAACATTTTTACTCCACCTAACCATCTGGACTCACCCTAGACATAGTAAGCTCATAATATTTGTCAGAGACCTGAATTGCACGGTAAAGTGTGCAAACATGCTAGAGGAGAGAAAATATATCAAAACAAAGAGTTTTACATTCTATATTTGTCATATTTGGAATTACTAATCACTCTGACTGAACCACTTGAAAGATGATTTGTTTGTTTTTAGATGTTTGACCAAGCTATTGTTTTTTCTCAGTTTCTCATTTATTATTTATTTTACGTTGTGTGAAAATAAAAGGTGTTATGCCCCTAGTTTAACTGACTGAACAAGGTATAGTTG